TAAATTGATTTATTTATTAATGAAATGACTTTTTAAATTAATATCTTTAAAATAATATATCATTTTTTTAATAATATATATACTTTGATATATAATTATCAAATACTTTTTATTAAAAAATTATATATTTTTAAAAAAATATTTTAGTTTAAATTAATAAAATAATATTATATTAAAAAATATGTTAATTTACTTATTTATTTTTTATAATAATTTTTTTATTTATAATATATTATTAAAATATTAATATATTTATATATATTATAAACATAAAAATAATAATCATTTATTTGAGTTAGGATAATTTAGAAAAATAATATTCTTTATAACTTTCTTTTTCTGTCAGTAGTGACAAAGAAATATATGTTATAGTAAAAAATTATATATTTTTTTCATTACTGAAAATGAAATATTTTTTTTCTATTTAGTTTTCTGTATAAATCTTTCCACAATTCATTTTTCGTGAAAAGAATCTGAACCTTAGAGTCCAAAAGATTATTTGTAAAAAAGTTTATGTTATAGAAAAAGTGAAATGTTTGAAGGAGGAAAAACAAGAAAGCTGAATGTATTTCAAAACGTAGGATTTAAATTCACACCAATAGTGAAAAAGTAAACAGAAAAATAAAAATAAAAATAAAACATGTCATCTTAAATATTTATATTCACTCGGTTTCTTTTTTACATGTTATTAATTTGTCTATAGTTTCCTAAATATACTAACATTTTTCAAAACTAACTTCTTGGAAGAAAAAAGAAAAAGCGAGAAGTGAACTGAAAAATGTAAATGAAAGAAATTGGGTTGTTAATTAAATAGTTCACCATATCAACACGGGATACAAGGCATACACACCCACTTTTATTGTAGTAAAGAAAAAAAAAACATCTTTTAATAAAGTAAAATAAAAAAATTCATAGATCTCCTAAACTTTGATTAGTTAGGATTTAAGTAAAAGTTGTGGTTCTAACTTAATCTTAAGCCCTTTTTTTTAAGGTATCATTATTATGTTATTATATTAATTAAACAATTTGATTCTTATTATGGATTTGCGATAACAAATCATAATTTTAGGTGAGATTTTCATAATCACATCCCTAAAGATTGATGTGGATATTCAATCATAAGACGAGAACATTTATTTGGATATTACACAACCACCAACTTCAAGTTATAAATATTAAAGATCAAAATAAGTCAAATGATTACGTTATTATGTTATGTCGTTTGGTTGTAGGACGATACCCTTTATTCGAACATCACATAACCCACAACCTCAAGTCGCAGACACTAAGGCTTAGATAGGTTATAGACAATGATATTATATTGAGTCGTTTGACTCGATTATCACATAACTCAAAGTCTCAAGTCATGAATGTTAAGACTTAGATTGTTAATCATAACTTATTTTTAACCTAAGAATCGTACATGTGACATTGTGATATTAAAAATTATGTCAAGAACTATATGATAATGTGAACCACATAGGATCGTCATGTAATCATAGGACCATACAATGTCGTTGTTGGATCATACAAGGTCATGTCGTTGTAGGACCTTATAAGGTCATCAAGTCATCAAATCTGACAGGATCGTCATGTCTTAAAACCTCATAAAATCGTCATGTCATAAAACTTCACAGGATCATCAAATCGTAGGACCTTATAAAATAGTGGAAGTTCACATTGTGTTGTAGACTCACTTTTAAGATAAATTATGTTAAAAAATTTTAATAGATTACATTATAAAGTTAAAATCTATATTCAAGTTTAAGAGAATAAAACAATTAAAAGATGTGATGGGTGAAGTGATGAGATGGGAAGAGTAAATAAAAATATTATATTGAATATCTAAATTGTACCCGAATATTAGAATATTTAAATTAAAGATATGGGGCATCTCCAACAAGAGCAACTCATATGAGTTGTTTCTTATCTTGAAAAATGTAAAAGAAGAATTTATGATATCACATCATTTTTAAGCAACTTACTATTGATTTTATTGCATTAAAAGTTTTATTAAAAAAAATAATTCTCAATCCTTGTTTACTTTGATTTACTTATTTTTGTAAGTTACTTGATAAAATAATTATAAAAAAAAATTTAAACACTTATCATATCATAGAATTTCTACAAAGGAAAATTACTTCAAGTAACTAATATTTTATGTAATAATCATAAAGTTAAGGAGGGGAACCATCCCTCAAAAGTCAGCCAAAGAAGTTAGAGAACCTCCCGCCTTATAAAGTCTCCTTGGTAAGTAGATCTTTCTAATGTGGGGCTTGTTACAATATCACCCCCTTTGAAAACTCTCGATGGCTGCACTCCCCGGTACTTCACTCTGTCTTTTTTGCCGATCAGAATCCTCGGTGGGTAGTCCTTCTCGAGTTGGTTGACTCTCAACGAGAGCACCAATATAATAATCATAAAGCTAAAGAGGGGAACTATCCCTCAAAAGCCGGCCCAAGAAGTTAAAGAATCTCTCGCCTTATATTCTATTTAAGCATCTCAATAAACAACTCTTATTAAATATGCTTTTAGTCCATAATCAAACTATAATTACGAAAAAGATTAATAGAGTCCAACAAAGTTAATGTTAACCTTGATATTTATAGAAATTACGTAATTATTTCACGTAAAAAAGTCATTAAAAATTTCCAATGCTTTCGACTTTATAAAAGGTTTTCAGCACGAATCAAAAGTAAATTTATCTAAAATATATATAATAATTCATTCTCCTTGATCGTATATTTCAATTATTATGGTTTTAATTAACAGGAATGGGATATTGGCATAATAATTCACGTATCTATAATATAATCAACAAATGTGATTTTTTTTGAAGATCCATATTGCTATATAATCCAATTTAATAAATAATGGATTAGATAATAGTGATTAATGGAATTTTTTTCTCCTAATTCATTGATATTGAAAAATCATATGTTATAATCACTTTTCATCGCAACAAAGATATCATAATTATTGAAAATAATTTTGTTAAGTATAACATAATTTTAGATGTTGATTCATAAAACAAGGTTAAATAATTTTAATTAATAACTTATGTTTTTTTTTTAAATATCATTTCTAAGAAAGCATTAATGAATCATAATTGAAACCCAATAGTGGTTGCTAAAGGACCTTGAGGCATGGAATCTACAATCATGTCATAGATTGTGGAAGCCATTGGCATGAGGGTAATCATCTGTCATTGATAACCAGAATTAATTATGAGTGTTCGTGATTGGTATGATACACAGTTCATAGTATTTGATGATGATTCTTGACATTAAAAAGGGTATTTTTATGGTATAGTAATTAGGAGATATAGGCATGCATGCAATTGAAACCAGGCTTCGATTTGAAGCATGCAAAGCAATTATGAGAATAATAATGCTTGCACGTAGAGAAATCATATTATTCTACTTCATTTTCCATCTCACATGCCACCAAATTAATAAGAATGGTATAATTTATAGCAGTCTCATGATTTTATTTTGGGTTTTAGTTGTAGCTGTACGTGTAAGTAAGTATAACATCATTGAGACCACCTCAAAAGATACTTAATGATAATAATTTTTTATTACAATATTTAGATTATCTTTTGTTACTATATATATATATATATATATATATATATATATATATATATATATATGTCTCTGTAATCATAAGAATTATTATACAAATTTTATGTAAGAATAAAATGATTCACTTAATGAATGGGAAATTCATAAGAAGTTACAACAAAACATTACCCGACACATGATAAAGATCACACTACACAAGACAAAAACAAATACTAGAAATGAATAAAAGTCCGGACCCACAATTAAGGATACGTGTCAGCATTGGTGTGCCATAAATAAAGAAAAAGCATTGGAGGTAAATAACCTTGGATTTATTGTGTTTTAACCCTATTCAACCAACCCATCTGTTTCAATTGTTACCATTCCTATTCTCAAGAGAGAGAGAGAGGTGAATGGAGGAAAGAATTAATAAGGTTATGACAATTGAGAAGGTGTTTGAGGTAGATGTGGAGTGAAGAAGATCATGGAGGGGCTAATTATTTAATGAAGATTTAAGAAATCTGATTATGTGATTTAAAAAATGATAATGGAGGGTGGGGATTGTTTAGGGCCCTATAAACATTCCTATTTTGCATGTATGCCGTAGGGATTGGAGTGGTCAAACCTATAATGTCTCCCCCTCCATTCTTTTTCAATTGGGATTCCCATCCTTTTCATTCCTTTTTAGCAAACAAACAATTTTGATTGAAAGTTGCCGTTACAGTCATCAAAGCAACCCTATTATTTCAGCATTTTGGGCCACTCTGTCTCCTTCTTTCTCAACAATTTATTTTGTCTATTTGCATATAATTAAATCAAAACCCCAACTCGCTTCTCTTCTTCACTTCCCATTTCCGGAATCTCGCCATTAATATTAATTGGTTTCATATAATCTGATGAACATGTTTGAATTCTTGCTGCTATTCACGCAGATACACTCTTATTTAATCGGAAAAGAAGAAAAGCTATTCGGCCCACTCGTTAGTTGCCGTATAATGCTCACTTTTTCTAAAGTAACAAAAAGATACGGTCCAAGTTGAATTACTCTCCACGAATGTAAACAAAAGATCATAATAAGTTGGACAAATGTAAATTAGCCTCATTCATTCTCAACCAAAAATTAAAGAGGGTACCCAAATTGTAAAGACCATCAAGCTTCTTCACCAATTTCATGAGAATCACTTAAATATGGTTCGCTGTTGTTCATCAATTTAGCAATCTAACTCAAAATTCTGGCTCGTATTGAATTCAATTCGGTTATTGGAAACGTGAACACCGTCAAAGAAAGGTGAAAGAAATAGTAATCTAAGAAGGAGCTCGAAATGAATTTTGCCTTTGCGATTTTCCATTTTATGAAATCTGCCTATGGACAAACAAAATTTGGTTTGATTTACATTTTACATGCGTTTTAATAACTACGTGTGGGGGAGAGCGTCAAAACGGCATGATATGAGTGGTCTTGGTGTCGTAGCACGAAAGACATGACTTGGAGTTCACACGAAAAATCTTGAGCAAATCGGTGCACATTTGGCGCACTTGCGGCGCACAGTTGCTCTGCATCAGCAACAGAATCTTGGTCAAGCCATTGGCCTGCGTCACCGCCTCCTGCGCCTTGCGATCGCGAAACAGGTAGCACACGCTCCACAGCGTCGTCACCGCGTGCTCCGTCGCCACGTTCGACACCTTCAGAACCTTGCTTAGAACCGCCGCCACACACGCCGCGTCCTCGCATATCTCCCTCCGCCCCTCCCTCGTCGACGACGCCGTCTCTACCAGCTTCAGCACCTTCTCCACCGCCGCTGCACCCAGCTTCGCCTCCGTCAGCAACAGCCTCGACATCGCCTTCACCGCGCCGAGACTCACCAGCTTCAATTTGTTCCGCTTCGGCGCCGAAATCGCGACAAGGCTGGCCAGCGCTGCCTCGACCAGCGCCGGATCTTTCTCCGGCGCCGCGGACTTCAGCAATTCGGCCACCGCGCCTTCCTTCTCAGCGATTAAAATCTTCGACTCCGCGTCCGCGGCGACGAATTCCAGAATCCTAGCGGAGGCGATTTTCGAATCGCAACCTCCTCGTTGAAGAACGAGAAGCAGGGAATCTATGCTTCGTGTATCTCCTTTCAGCAAAGAGTTTCTCAATCCCTCGCAATCCTCGACGCAATCGAGAATCAACCCTAGCAGCACGACGACTTGTTCGAGAAATTCAATACTAGCTCTGGCGATTATTCCTCCGTGGACATTGTCGAGGAAACGAACTAGTCGGTCGACGAAGCCTTCTAGCTTGGCAAGGAAGAGTTTGTTATGGTGAGAATCTTTGGCGAAGTGGAGGAGTTTGGATAGCGAAGCGGAGCGGAGAGAGTCGGTTTCCAATTGAGCGAGGGTTGGGAGGACTTGGTCCGGGGAGAGGAGATGTTGGGGAAGGGCTGAGTGACGAAGCGAGTCAGACCAGATCTGGATGAGGCTTTGTAAAGTTCGGTTGGGAACGAAGTCTTTGGTTTGGAGGAGTTGCATGGTTGCGGGGCAGGTGTTGTTGCCGGCGTCGAGCCAGCGTTGGATGCTGGAGCGGTCGTAGGTGACTCCGGTGCAGAGGCTGACAGGGGATTTCATGACATCAAGAGAAATAGGGCACTTGAAGAAAGTGGGAACGGTGATGCATAGATCGTCTCTGGCTCTTACCATGGTTGAGTGCGTTTGTGTGTTGGTGAGTGGGAGGGAGTGAGGAACAGAGGGAAGTGGGAGATGGTGGGGAGAAGAGAATGGGGTGTTTAAAGGTGGAATGGGAATGGGATTGATAGGGAGAGTCAAAGGTGGGTGACGTAAGATTCTTCCCTTTTTGTTTTCATAGACAAGTACTAGACTACTGTAGTATTTGTATTTGGGGTTTCAGATTATTCCTGTGTTGTTTGGTCAACCAGGGAATTGTGTTGGGTCAATGAGGAGCGTGTGATGGTGGAGAGGGATGATGAAGGGGTGAGATGAGGTGCTGGGGAGTGGATGGAGGGAAGTAAATAAATGCGTATGATTAGGGTTTAGGAGGAGAACGTGGGGGTCCTGGGACCCACCAAGGAAGCAATGAGTTGAAAGGTTTTTCTTTTTTATGGATTTTGGTTTTCCCTTCACTTGGGTTTGTGCTTGGGACCCTCTCTGTGTTCCTTCTGTCGGTCCCATTTTTCCCATCATTCCCAAAACACTATTTCATAATTTTGTGAACAGCTTACAAGTTGTAATCTATGAAGTTGTTGTGGGCAAGTTAACTTTAATTTGAACCATTGTAGCATTTAATGAGAAGATGAGTACACATTCAATTCAACCCCCTCCAGCTCAATTTGAACCAAGTTGTTGCTGTATTCACTTCTTACCTCCACCTTCACATTAAATTACTCGTTAAATTCATACACATTTTTATTACGTTTTGCACTCTTGTGCACACACTTCTTACGTACATTGGTGTTAATTTCTTGTGTGCACTCTTTAACACATCTGTGTTAAAGAAATCACGCCTCGTAAAATAGTTTGAAAATATGCATTATTAAAAACTAAAACTGTTATTTTAAAGAAGAATGAAGGATGCTAATGAATTATATCCCATGTCCCCTCACGACTCATTATTGTTTTTTTTTCTTTGTCTTTTTGGGCCGTGGGGTGGGGGTCTTTAATTTGACTCATTGTGTTTTACAGCGCGTCATTATGGCACCGAAAGCAGATCTTCGTAGGAAAATGGCACAATTCTTACTCCCATCAATTAGAACCAGTCATTATCATATCATCTTTCCTTCTCAACGTTTCTTTCTTCTCTTACTCACCATAATTTCTTTCGTGTTTTTCGGATTAAAACTCAGCTTCGTAACTTACAGCTAGCCCTACTTTCACGCAAGAAACTGTGGGCAAAGTACTTCCCATATGCTCCACCTTTTTCATTATCATAATCCATTAACCCTAAAACAATGTCATAGATAAAGTAATAAAGAAAGAAGTTGGTAGAACAGAATAAAATGTTGCAATTAACTATCATTTTTAAACACTCTTACACGTTTTATTTCAAGATAATAACGATTCCTTAACCTTTCGTGTTGGAACACATGAATTGCGTGGATTAAGTGGGAAATGTTTGGTGTTTGGTGTTTGGTAGCGTAGAAGGAGCTGATTCGTGGTGCAAAGACCAAAGTGACGTAGATTTGCATGACAATGACATTAGAATTATTCGGATTTCGGCGGGTGCAACAGTTTCAACATCGGCACTTGTGTGGTGAAATTTGGCCAAACCTAACCTCCATTCTCACTTTTGCATGCTTGTTTCGTAAATATTACTTCTTCTTTTTCGTTCTTTTCTCTTTCATTTATGGTAGTTTTTATTTGAGAAAAGAAAAAAAGCCAAAGTAAGAAGAAAAAATAATTAATATTATCTCAAAGTTTTTAAATAATAAATACAAATTCTTTCAAATGGATAAAAAAAGGTAATTATGATCATTATTACTACTATTATATTATTATTAAAATAAATACTATCTTCTTTTCAATATTAAGATAACGAAGGTAAAGTAATATATTATTAATAAATAATAAATAAATATAAAAGAAAAAAAAGATAAAAAAGAATAAAAAGATAAAATTATATATATATATATATATACACTTAAATGTATTAAATGATCATTAAATTTAAGGGGACAAAATCATAAATTATGTTAGAGTTACAAAATAAAAAGAGGGACTGAAAGGATCAAATTATAAATACAAAGTAAATATATTAAATGTTCATTAAGTTTGGGATCAAAATCATAAATTGCATAATAGTTACAAAATTTTAGGAGTTATAACCCTCAACTCCTAAAAAGATCCGCACGCTGCGGTTATTCCAATAATATTGTTTAAACCCAGTCAATTTTAAGAGTTTAGAGACCTTAATCCTTCATTTTTTTTTCACATATTTTAATTAGAAGTTTTTTTTTACATGAGTCTCTTATTTAATTTTTCTTTCTCCACATACTTGCTCATCACGTTGAAAAATATCTTAGCTTTTCCATTCTTACACTATTTTATAGAGAAAACTATAATAATGTTCTTTGAATTTTTAGAAAAATTGGCTCAATATATCTATTTTTTATTCTACAAAAATTGTAACTAAAATAAAAACATTATAATTTTATGTTAAATAATATTTTTTCTAAAATTTACTATGTTAAAGAAAATAACTAATAACCAAAATCAATATAGTATTTTTTATGGTTTTTTCTAAAGTTTAATTCAAACAAAATATTATATTTTATTTGTAATTTAGTTTTTAAATCTTTTGAGATGCAAAAAATATGATAAGAGAGAATGCCACACATGGTTGACTTTAGTTATTGCAAAGTCACTTAAAAATTAAAGTTAAAAATAATTTTTTAAAGTTATAGTTAAAAATTATTTCATAATTTTTTAAGCTTGAAAATTACGATTAAATTCAAAATTCAATTCTTCGTTTTCCCTTAAATCTCGATATTAGAATAAAGAACAAGAATAAATAGCTCCTAAAATAAATTTATGTGAAAGATGATTTTTTTTAAGTTTACTTCACTAAAAAATTATCTTTTTTTCATTATTTTTAGACCCTTTATATTTATGTATTTGACAATTTATACTTTTATAATGTGAAGTTTAAAACATAAAAAAAAAATATAATTGGATGAAGGACCATATTCAAGGGTGAAAAATATTTGATTATTTCTAATAAAATTGTAGTTATTTGTTTAATTGGGGAGGGCCTCATTCGCTTGGGCCTAAAGTGTTCAACGGAGTTACAATTAAATAATTTATTTATTTTGGATTATAATAAAAAATATAATTTTTTTATACTTTTTATCTCTAATATTTATCTACTTCCCATCAAAATTTTAAGGTCTATATATTTTTTTTCAACTAATTTTTTTTAAATTGATTTTAGCTTTAAAAAAAGTAAAGTTTTTGTTTTTTTTTATTGAACGAATTATAATTGCAGTTAAAATAAATTTTAATCATAATCATTTTAACGATAAAGTATTTCCAAGAGATATAAAACTAAGATAATATTTTTGGAAGAGTAAAACTGGATTTGAAAGATTTTAGAAGGATTAAAAAAATATTTTTATTGTAGATTAATGCAAGGTAAATTTTTTAATGATTAAATGTTTATTTTATCTATAGTTAATCTTTCATATATTTTTTATGTAAAATTTTAATTAATTAAAATTTGGTAGCACTATAAGATCTAAAAAAATATAAAAATGAATGAAAACAAAATAAATACTACAGTTTAAAAGTAATTAATCTATTTAAATTTCGGATTCAACCGGTTCAATTAGAAATCAATCTAAAAATCTATTTATTATTTTTAAATAATTTTAATTAAAATAAGATAAAACTAAAAAAAATTATTAAATTTTTAGATTAAACCGATTTTAATAAAAAATATTTTTTAACATAGTCTTTTTTAAAAATATAATATATTTACTCTCTTTTTTATTTTATATTAGTTACATCACCTTTAAATAATAGTTATTATATTAATTATATTTTTATCTTATTTTAATAAATATTTATTGTATATCTTTTAATATATTTTATAGAATTGAATGAATCAATCCAGTGAATATTGACTGTATGAAACCAAGAAAAGTCAAAATAATGTTAGAAAAGGAGGAAAAGATATTGAATATAATTTTTATGTTATTACATTAAAAAAAATCTTAATTTAAACGGAAAACTATAATAGGATTATTGAACTCTCACACGATAACTTGAACACGATTATTACTGATAATATTATTGTAGAAAATGAGATCAAAATATTTGACATGTTATTGAATCTCTCCGTCACCCACTTAAAAATGTTTGTTCTAAGATTTAAAAAATCAACATATGAAATTCCATGATTAGTTCTACTAATATTATCTCATAACAATTTTATTATATCAATATCTAATCTTATAATGTAAGAAAAATGAAATTGAAAAGAAAAGAAAAAGTAGAAAAATGGCATGGTGGTGGTCACTAAATCCTTGACTTGAAAGAGGATAGAGGGTGGTATGAGACCCAACGATTCCATTGCAGTTAGAGTGCACAAAATGTTGTCATGTTCTAAGCTTCTTTCCTTCCTCATAGTCATCATTTCAAATTCAAAAACGTGTTATTCTTCTTCGCGTACTTCACGGGGACATGTTGTTAGGTATTTTAATAGGAGTTAACTTAACTATAACACAGCCTTATATCAACTGCCATTTACCAAAACACTAAATATAATTTCTGTTCAGAAATTCCACAAAACCTTAACTAAATGGTTTCTATCAAACTAATATTTTTAAACGCATATGGTAATACCTTAATGTCTTAGGTTGAGAATGAAGAAATACCTATAACTTAATATTTTAAATTTTTTTTATTAAAAATGATATCAACCAAGTTGAAGTTATTATATGAATTTAATATCTACTAAATATTTATAAATATCGACTAAATAATACTATTTTATAGGATTTAATAGGTATTTTATAATTTTTAATAATTTCATCACCATAATATAAAATTTCAACACATTTACAAGATATGTTGTTCTTTTAATTTTAAAACAATTATTATTTTATTAAATAAAATTAATTATTGAATATTTTTAACAATTTCAAATAATTTCATCCACCATAATATATAATTTCAACACATTTACAAGATTTGTTGCATTATTTTTTTAATTTTAAAATAATTATTATTTAATTAAACAAAATGAATTATTGAATATTTTCAAACAATTTTTAATAATTTCATCCACCATAATATAAAATTTCAACACATTTACAAAATTTCTTGCATTATTTATTTAATTGTAAAAAAATTATTATTTAATTAAACAAAATGAATTATTGAATATTTTCAAACAATTTAATAATTTCATCCACCATAATATAAAATTTCAACACATTTACAAGATATGTTACATTATTCTTTTAATTTTAAAACACTTATTATTTAATTAAATAAAATTAATTATTGAATATTTTTAACAATTTTTAATAATTTCATCCACCATAATATAAAATTTCAACACATTTACAAGATTTGTTGCATTATTCTTTTAATTTTAAAACAATTATTATTTAATTAAACAAAATGAATTATTGAATAGTTTCAAACAATTTTTAATAATTTCATCCACCCTAATATAAAATTTCAAAACATTTACAAGATTTGTTGCATTATTCTTTTAATTTTAAAACAATTATTATTTAATTAAACAAAAAGAATTATTGAATATTTTCAAACAATAAATCATGAGGCCTTTTGGGATTTTAGTATTGCGTAACAAACGGAGGCATTTTGGGATAATTCCACATAAATTTAAGATTTAGAAATTTATTAAATAATAAAATTTTATAAAAGAATTATTATAATAATAACAAAATTCATTTTTGTACTCGTAATAAATTATATTAAAGTTATAAATATAAAGTAAAACATTGATTATCATGAGATATGTTGAAATAGTTATTATTTAAAAATTATGTAATTAGTGTCAAATAAAAGAAAAAAAATAAAAATGTTATATTATTTTTTTTTAAATCTTATAAAAAAGATAAATTTTTTATTTAAAAATTCATTGATTTGAACTTTAATTTTTTTTATATTGATTTAATTTTTTTAAAAAAGTAATAGATAATCGTTGTATTACTTCTCGATTGAACTGGTCTAATCTGATTTTAAAATAATAAATAATATAATATTTTTAAAATTATATCATCTTATAATATATATATATATATATATATAGAAAATCTGGATGTTCATTGTAATAGTTGTTAGTATGGTGGGATACTTTAGCTACAGTTATTTTATCGGTTTCATTAGAAATAAGTGTATATTATCAATGTTTAGGTTTCATCATTTCATAAAATTAGTTTTTTTAATATTTCTTCATGTTAATTATTATTTATTTATAATTATATATTACGGGATTCACTTTTTAATAATTTTTTTAAGAGAAAATAAAAATATCATACTTTAAAAAAATAATTAGTAGAATTTATATACTTTAAAAATAATAAATATATGAGAGAAAAATATTATAAATAATCAATAAAGAAATAAGTGAATATATTTGAAAAGAGAAAAGAATAATAAAATTGAAAAATAATTATATATAATAGATATTTCCTTTTATAACGATTTTTTTGGTGTCATTCAAAAGAGAAAAAAAATATTATATTTTGAAAATTTATTATGATTTATATATTTTAAGAATTAT